TGTAGGGAATGCATTGAAAGGGAAGGTTGGGAAGAAAGCATACTTGGAGAACTGGCTGACGACGCTTCCATCGCTGACACCAGGGGAGGTAGCTTACAGAGTTAACTTCGATCATGAGGAAGCCATTGGAGTTCCTGGAGCTATCATCATCACCAACAACCACGCCACTGAGTTCTTCCTCAAGACCATCACTCTCGAAGACGTTCCCGGCGAAGGCACCATCCACTTCGTCTGCAACTCCTGGGTTTACCCAAAACAGCGCTACGACTACGATCGCATCTTCTTCAGAAACAAGGTAATTGCTGTTATGGGGTGTTGTAGTCACAATATTAGAAAATGCCCACCAACTGTTTGTTGAAAATACGCGATGGGAAACAGAGATTTTATAGTGTGTTTAGTTTTTTTGATTTATGAAATATGCCCACCAACTGTTTGTTGAAAGTACCCAATGGTTAAGTTCTGGCTTTTGGGAAAGCAGAGATTATATGGTATTTATTTTCAGTCATGAAGTTTAGACATGCCCACCAAGTGTTTGTTAAAAGTACGCAATAGTTTGATCTAGATTTGGTGAATTTTTATTTTTTTTTTATTTTTTGCAGGCGTATCTTCCAAGTGAAACGCCAGCGCCACTGCGGTATTATAGAGAGCAAGAGTTAAAGAATTTGAGAGGAAATGGAACAGGAGAGCGTAAGGAATGGGACAGAGTCTATGACTATGCTTTGTACAACGATTTGGGTGATCCTGACAAGGGTCCGCAGTATGTTCGCCAAATCCTTGGAGGGTCTAGCGAATTCCCTTACCCTCGCAGAGGAAGAACTGGCAGAGCACCCACCAAGACAGGTTAGACATTTGTGTATAAAATTTGTGTCAGAGAGTTTTCCTTTTTTCTTTTCTTTTCAATTATTAGCAGTAATTAATTGGGATATGTAGAATGTTGTTGTTAACATTTATTTTTCTTTTAATATAATTTGCTAACAGATCCCAACAGCGAGAGTAGGATGTTTATCCTTACGAGCATAAATGTATATGTTCCACGTGATGAACGATTTGGTCACGTGAAGATGTCAGACTTCCTCGCTTATGGATTGAAGTCTCTGTCTCAAGCCATCAAACCAGCGCTGGAAGGTTACTTTGATGGCACCGAGCACTGGGACAGCTTCAAGGAAATAGATAACTTGTATGACGGAGGATTTAAGCTACCAGTAGCTGTACTCGACACTATCAGGAAAAATGTTCCCTTTGAGATGCTCAAGGAAATTTTCCGAACTGATGGTGAACAGTTCCTCAAATTCCCTGTGCCTCACGTGACTAAAGGTATTTCATGTCTCTGTATGGCGCACTTCATATTGTTCTAAAAATGATTTTTGTTCTCATAAAAACATCGACGGCATTGCTCTATTGTTCTTTCAGTAGCTATTTTATTTTCATCTAAGTATGATGTCTCAATGATTTGGAGCAGTGGATAAGTCTGCATGGAGGACTGATGAAGAATTTGCTAGAGAAATGTTGGCTGGAGTGAACCCTGTCATCATTCGTCGTCTCGAAGTAATTTCATAGTTACTTAGTGAAGTTATTAGCAGCGATGATAGAATAAATTTAGCTAAATTCAGGTTTTTGTTTCACCGATAATAATTACCTGGTTTAATTTAACTACAGGAATTCCCACCAACAAGCAAGCTAGACCCTAACGTTTATGGTGATCAATCTAGTAAAATTACTGAAGACCACATTGAGAAGAGCCTGGAAGGGCACAATGTATTTGAGGTAATGTTCCTTGTGATATTTTTTGCAGAAAAGTTTAAATGTATCACGCAGTTATGATAAGCTGATGTTTTTACCTTCTACATTTAACAATGTTGGATATTATATGGTCCAATAGGCGCTCTACGGCAACAGGTTGTTTATATTGGATCACCATGATGCTTTGATCCCATACTTGAGGAGGATAAATTCAATGGACAATTCCACAAGGATTTATGCTAGCAGGACGCTCCTGTTCCTTAAAGACGACGGCACTTTGAAACCATTAGCCATTGAATTAAGCTTACCACATCTTGATGGAGATAAATATGGTGCAGTTAGCAAAGTTTATACCCCAGCTGAAGAAGGCGCTGCAGGTACCATTTGGCAACTTGCAAAAGCTTATGTAGCCGTAAATGATTCTGGTGTCCATCAGCTCATCAGTCACTGGTACAGTTCTCTAAAAGTTGAGCGCATAAGTGTGGTTAAATTTACTCGAGGTTTTTAAATGTATTCTAATTTTGGTTGGTTTGCAGGTTAAATACACATGCTGTGATCGAGCCACTTGTGATTGCAACGAACAGGCAGCTGAGTGCAGTCCACCCGATTTACAAACTCTTGCAGCCTCATTTTCGTGACACTATGAACATAAATGCCCTTGCCAGGCAAACTCTCATTAATGCCGGAGGCATTCTAGAGTCGACAGTTTTTCCAGGAAAGTATGCAATGGAGATGTCAGCAGTGATATATAAGAGCTGGGTCTTTACTGAGCAAGGACTCCCAGCGGATCTCCTTAAGAGGTAAGTCTTTCAAGTGTAGGTCACCTTAAGAAAACAATATTTTTAACTTGTTAGAAATGCGTGTTAAGTTGAAAATACTCAACATATACAATATTACAAAAATATTAAGTTGGTCTTCTGTTGTTAAGCTCTCATTACAATTACACTATGACTTGGCTCTATGCAGAGGAGTTGCAGTCAAGGATTCAAGTTCGCCATATGGTCTTCGCCTACTGATAGAGGACTACCCGTATGCTGTTGATGGGTTGGAAATCTGGTCTGCAATTAAATCGTGGGTTGAGGAGTATGTCTCATTCTACTACAAGAGTGATGAGATTGTTCAGAAAGACTCGGAACTTCAGGCGTGGTGGAAGGAACTTAGAGAGGTGGGTCATGGTGACAAGAAAGATGAGCCATGGTGGCCCAAAATGCAAACTCGTGGAGAGCTCATAGAGTCAAGCACCACAATGATATGGATTTCTTCTGCTCTCCACGCAGCCGTCAACTTTGGGCAGTATCCTTACGCAGGATACCTTCCAAACCGTCCCACTGTAAGCCGCCGGTTCATGCCTGAGGAGGGCACTCCAGAATATGAGGAGCTTAAGACTAACCCTGAGTTGGCTTTCTTGAAGACAATTACTGCAGAGCTGCAGACACTTCTCGGGGTTTCCCTCATTGAGATTCTGTCAAGGCATGCTTCCGACGAGGTCTATCTCGGGCAGAGAGACACTCCCGAGTGGACTGCAGAAGCTGAGCCAATTCATGCCTTTGAGAGGTTTGGAAAGAAACTGGTTCAAATTGAGGAGGGGATTTTGAACAGGAACAAGGATGCCAATCTGAAGAACCGAGCCGGGCCCGCCAAGTTCCCATACACTTTGCTCTATCCTACCGGTGAAGAAGGACTTACTGCCAAGGGAATTCCCAACAGTATCTCAATCTAAAGCTTCTCAGCTCCCTGGGTTTTTCTTCTCACGAGCTGCTGCATCTTTTGGTGCAGGCCATCTTCAGGGGAAAGTCTGTTTAAGGTTTACCTTGTTGTCCACTTATAATAAGAGTGTCCAAGTACAAAGGCCTTTAGCCTTTGTATCACTAAAATAATTTGTATTGTGTTTTTATGCTTAATAATGTAAGGAGCCTCAAGTAAATAAAATATGAAAGCTTTCTGTTATCGTTATGGACAAAATTTCCTAAACAATGCAGATATTCCTTTTCTTT